AGTCAACTACATGTAACCTAGGTAGAATTAAATTAGGTTAGGGAATTTTTGTTTTGATAAAATAAAAAAAAAAAAAATAGTAATTGCTAATCGACAAGATTCGAATTAATTCAAGTAAACGAGGGCTTTAAGAAAATAATTCATCATTAGGGTCTTAAAAGTAAATACATATTTTAGGGGCCTTACATACCAACTATCTATCTATTTAAAAATTTTTTTGCCTTATATGATCAAAAAATTCAACAGATAGATATAAATTTGAATAGATAGTCAAACAAATTTGAATAGATAGAAAATAATTTAAATAGATAGATATAAATTTAAACAGATAATAAAAAAAAGTCAACAGATAAATTAAGTGGTAAAATTGAAAACAAAATGTCTTCTAAAACCAACAAAAGGACTTCTCACCTAATTATTTTACAAAGAGTGGGCTTCTCACCAATAAAAAATAAGGGGACTTACGGGCCGGTCCCAAGGAAGTAACTTAATACCGGTCAAGTCTTGTTTTATTTTTGTTTTCAATTTTACCCTTAAATATCACACTACACGCGTAAAGCAAAGAGGTAGCTCACGATTTCTCCCCTACGCGGGTGACATGCACGCGCCTTTTCAAGGGTTCTATTGCACACAAACGTGTGAAGATTTGGAAACCAATTCTCAAGGGATTTTCGATTTGGAAATTGGAACAAATTAAGAGATTTTCGGCTAATCTCCCACCATTTCCAAAGAAATCGCCAACTGTTTTCATACCGATTCCAAACAGATCTCCAACAAATCTTCCACCGTTTCGATGTATATTCCTATTCAGACACCTACTTTCACTGTTTAGTTCATCTTTAACAAACATACCAATTAAACGTGAGTCATACTCATCTTTCCTTCTTTCATAACCATAATTAAGTGATAAAATTTGACTTGAAGCTATTTTCAATATGTATTATAGAGTATTACTTTATCAATGATATTCAACTTCATAATCATATCTTTATGTTCATTTGCTATACAATGATGGATTTGCTTACTTTTGCTAATTCAATGATAAAATTTACTATACAATGATAGATTTGCTTACTTTGCCTAATTCAGTGATAAAATTTGCTATAACAATGATAGGTTTGCTTAATTTTTCTAATTGAGTGATAAAATTTGCTATACAATGATAAATTTGTTTACTTTGCCTAATTCAATGTTAAAATTTGTTATAACAATGATAGATTTGCTTAATTTGTCTAATTGAGTGATAAGATTTGTTATAATGATGGATTTGCTTCTTTGCCTAATTCAATGATAAAATTTACTTGTGGCGACTAAAAGATGACTTTTGGCGACTAAAGCCAAAAGTGTAAATTCTTGTAGTGAACTCTACACCTGAAAAATATCAACAATGTAAGGTGAACATAGTTCAGTAGAGTTCCCAATAATTCTAATTAATATAGTACAATATGGTCATGTTTGATTCACAAAACTAATAGCGAACTATTAATAATCCTATTAAATTAGTGTGATATTCACTATCCAATTGGATTAATATCTATTAGATTAATAATCTACGCCTACCCCATTACTAATAATCCTACAAATTTGTTAGATTAATTATTAATAATCCTAAATCAAAATGTTAAAACAAACATAGGATAATTAGGCCCATGGATTAATAATCCCAATCCCATACTCTAATCCATCCAATCAAACATGCCCTATATGTATATGATCATAAATACTTTATTTATATAAATACATATATCATTAATATTCACCTTTTTGATATCCAAAATATAAATATACATAGGTACTTTTTTCACAAAAGCTATTCTTTATCATTTCAAGAATGGTCCCTCTCATTAGAAGTGCACCCACTTTACCAGGTTCACAGGAAGGAAATTGGTACCTTTCATTTGAATCGCAAACTACTTTGTCGAATGCTAATTGGAAGGAACTTGGGACCTTTCTATAGCACTTTCCCTAAATATCTCAACATTAATTATATCACTTTCATTACATAGTAGCCAACAAAATTATAAAACATGTAAAGGTTCAGTTTTCCCAATTCCGTAGCCATTCTACAACAAGCAATACAATCCTTCACTGATTGTCAAAACAAATATCTCTAAACAATAAGTAAAATATAACTCAACCGACAATACCTTGTTTGTTACAATTCTAATATAAGAAAAAAAAAAGTTCACAACGCCATCAACAACACATTAATTATAATATTTTCAAAACCAATCATGATTTCCAATACCTCCAATCTAATCGTGTATCACAATTCTACTTATCATTTTCTCAAGTTACCTAAGTTTTTGCAACCATCACCTTATTCCCATAACTTAATTCCATTATCTTTAATATGTAATAATTATAACCTTAGCCAATTTAACCCATTTTATCAATCATATTCCAATTTACTACGTTAACTCGTGGCTCAACATTAACTCTTTCTCCCATCTCATGTAACCATTAATTACAATTAAGGCTTTCTAATTTTAACATCATCAAAGAGTTCTAGTAGCATCAATTCATCATATTAAATAAGAAATCACAAGATTTATTACCTCAACTCAAAACCCTAACTCCCATTTTATGAATTTCAAAAACTTCTCATAAAAATCTAGGCTGTGTTTAAAACAATTTCCAAACTATGATTCTACCCCCACATTCCAACATGATGTTTGGATAGGATGTTCAAATTATATTTCCACAACATTTAAAAAATTCTGTAGAAAACTCTGTGTGAGGCGCGATTTTCATTTTTTTTTTTTTTTTATTTGGCCTAACCGGTCGTCCCACTGGTCGTCCGGCCGGTTGACCGGAACAGTACAATTTTTTAGTTTTTTTTTTTTTTTTTGCAATTGACATATTTTAATTTTTATATATTCGAAAAAAATATTTTCTGAATTTTTTAACATTTTTTATGTGCTTTAATAGAATTTTGAGTTATATGTTTGGTTATAAATTGTAAGTTTTTGTAATATCATGTCACATCAAAAATTTCCCACTCAATTCAAAATTCGTTTCAAAACTCTTTCTCCAAACAAATTTTTCACACTCAAATCACAATTCCAAAACTGACAAACTCAAAATACAACTCCCACTCTCAAATTATATTTAGAAAGCTCTACCAAATGCAACCCTAATTTTCTTGCAATATAAATACTACATATCCAGTACAACAATTGTATTAAGGAAAATTAGAAAAATCTCTACCTCTCGAAGAGAATTGAAGAAAAGTCCAAAAATCAATTTCACCGAAATTTGATACAGATGTGCTTGTCATTTTGGCATTAAAAACAAGTACCAAGAATTCAATGGATTTGGTTAGATTAAAGAAAGGGTGAAGGTTTGAGGTGTTGGGTATAGAGAAGGGAGAGGCAAGAGAAAATAGGGAGTGCAGAGAGAGATTAAGGGGTTGTTTAAAATGAGTTAAATAAGTGTATTTTTTGTCTTTTTATGAAAAGATATGTAAAAAAATAGAGAGGTGATGTGATGAAAAAAAAGATAAAAAGATGAATTATATTAAAATTACCAAACTTAGCCTAAAAACAAGTACCAAGAACTCAATGGATTTGGTTAGATTAAAGAAAGTGTGAAGGTTTGAGGTGTTGGGTATAGAGAAGGGAGAGGAAAGAGAAAATAGAGAGTTCAGAGAGAGATTAAAAACAAGTACCAGGAACTCAATGGATTTGGTTAGATTAAAGAAAGTGTGAAGGTTTGAGGTGTTGGGTATAGAGAAGGGAGAGGAAAGAGAAAATACAAAGTTCAGAGAGAGATTGACGAGAAATTAGAGAAATGACGGTTTGAGTCGAAAGAGCTTGAGTTTTGAGACAACTCACACCTCGAGCCGCATGTGTGGGCCCCATGGTCACACGTGTGGTTCACTGTAGCCCCAAAACCCAGATTCCCACCTAAGTCGCACATGCGGCCCAACTCCCCGCATGCGCGGAACAAAGCCCAACAACAAAGCCGACGATGGAAGTATGTCACCATAAAGTAGTCCACACGCCACATTGATTTTTTTATTTCTATTATAATATTTATTTAATTAGTAATATTTGGGTAACTAATGTGAGAGATATTCACTATCTTATATAATGGTTTTACAAAAGTTATAACTTCCTTAATGGTAGCAAATTATTAGGGGTTACATTGGATCACGGGTCCAAATTTATCTATATATGCCTGCGATTACCATCAAAATATAGACGTTTTGAAATAGAATAGATTTGAAACTCTGATCCTTCCACTTCTCTATATGGTTCTGTGAAAATTGTGTTACATATTTATGAGTAATTTTTTTTTTTTATACATTCAAGACTTGATCAACCAACAAACAATATATTCAAAGGCTTAAACAAGATGGTAGAGAGTATTCCTCTTTCTTATTAAATTATTTTAGTTCTAAGAATTGGTATTAGAGCCTTACTTCTGTTACGTTGTTTTGTCTCCTTTTTATCTGTTTGGAATTTTTGCTTATGGGGTTTTTGGGTAACTTTATACAAGCTGATGGAACCACTTTTAAATTCTCAAAGAGGAAAAGATTAATATTACATTAAGAACTCATTTGGAAATAAATTATTTTAATAATTTTTTAATTTTTTATAAAAAAATATGTAAAAAAATAAAAAGAACAAAATAACAACTTATAATAATTTTTTAATTAAAATATATAATTAGCAAACGAAACCTAAGTCAAATTCTATAACAGTGTGTTTGTCATTCTTTTGAAATAGACCCAACAATTAAATTGCATACAAAGGCGGTCACGTGCCCCTATCTTTCATTGGCTCCATCTTTGGTCATAGCAACATGTTGTATCACTTGCTAAAGAAAAACTATTCAATAATCTTGCGACAATTCATATTATATATAAATTTAATATTTATTAGTTAAAATAATAAATTTTATTTTATTTATTTCTTTTGATTTTTAAAAAAATAATTTAATAGATATAAGTAAGTGATAAATGATATTGAGTGATACTCGAACAAGACCAAATAACCATTCCAATAGATAGGCCACAATATTATAAACAAACCAAAAATATTATATAATCATTAAAAATCAATTACTAAGCTTCCACATATCTTTCCTTCACTTTCACAGGTAAACCACCCTTCATCCTCAAAGTCAAAGATAACAAATGCTCAGGACACTTGTCCTTATTTAGAACGTCAATCTCGAACCTCTCCATCACGGATGCTGCAATCGACTTCATCTAAATGTGTCCGGATCCTCGGCCGCCCTACCCGGCGACTCTTTCCAGCAGTGCCTCAAAACGACGTCCATCTGAATATACGCCAACTCCTTCCCGAGACACATTCTCGGACCCGCATGAAATACCGGATACCGGAACGGACTCTCCTGTTTTACCGTACCGTTCTCAATCCACCTCTCCGGTTTAAATTCCCTACAGTCACTCCCCCATATACTCTCCATCCTCCCCATTGCATATGTGTGATAGGTCACAAACCAATCCTTCTTCACAATCGTACCGTCTGGTAAAACGTCGTCGTCTTTGCACGCCTTAGTGTCTACAGGAACTGGAGGGTACAGTCTCATAGCTTCGGAAATCGCCGCGTGTAGATATCCCATTTCGCGTAACTCGTCGAAACTGTACGTTTCGCCGGTACGTTTCGCGTTTCGGGTTCTTACCGTTTCGAGCTCTTGGAGAATCTTTTTTTGGATCTCGAGTCTAGAGGAGAGTAACCAGAAGAACCAAGTGAGAGCCGACGACGTCGTATCGCGGCCGGCGAGGATGAAGCTTATGACGATATCTCGGAGAAACTCGGCCGAGTTATCGTCTGTTCCGATGAATCGTGACAGTAAATCCTCGTCTCGCTTCTCGGCTCTCTCTTCCATTCTCGATTTTATGATCTTATCTGCGAATTCATGAACTACCCCAATTGAATCCATCAACTTTTTCTCCGAACCCATGTTGAAAAACTTCTTGATTTTGTATAAATTTGGTAAAGCATACATAAACCTCCCGGAGCTAAGCGTCGCCGCCTCTTCAAACGCCGTCATGAACTCCCCGCCAGCGGTTCCATCGCCGCCGAGACACCCCGGATCAACGTTAAAAGCTAATTTACAAATATTATCGAAAGCGAACCGTTCCAAAACGTCTTGGAGATCCAAAACCCGGTTGGTTTTGGCTGATTTCTGAAAAATCGGAACCAATCGGGTTTGGGTCTCCACCGTTACGTTTTCCAACACGAAATTTCGGAGAGACTTCGTGTTGAATTCATAACTTGCGGTTTTGCGCTGGACTTTCCAGAGATGGGCGTCGGAGTTGAAGATGCCTTGGCCGAGGAAGTCTTGTAAGAGGGTTATGAATCGAATGCCTTTTGGGTAGTTATCGAAGTTGGTTTTGAGGATGTGTTCGACGTTTAAAGGGTTGGCGGTGATGACGCTTTCCAGAGATGGGTCGGAGTTGAAGATGCCTTGGCCGAGGAAGTCTTGTAAGAGGTTTTTGTTTTGTTTTGTTTTTTTTTTTTTTTGTGTGTAAAAACGAAATTAATTAATTAAATAAATGAAGTAAAATGTCATGAAATTAAAGTACTAAACTATAAAATAAACTAAACTAAACTAGACTATAAAATAACTAAACTACAAAATAGATTAAATTATAGAATCAAACAACCAAAACTAAATATGTTTATTTAATTATTTATTTATTTTTTTTATTTTTATTATTATTTTTTTTTTGAAGAGAAGAAAAGTAAATAAAATTTCAGAAAACAAAATAAAATAAAAATTAAACTACTTAGTACTTATATGAATAATGACATCATAGAATAAGATTAAAAGAAAATCATTAACTACACAAGTATAAGAAAAATAAAACTAAAAATAAAGTTCACTAACTAATTAAATTATCCCAGAATCACTACAAAGCAATTAAACTAAACAAATATAATAAATAAAAAAAAAACTAAATTAGGAGTAGTGTTAGTACCAATATTTATGAGGTTTTTTTTTTTTTCTGGCCAAATCTTCTCTTGGAAGCTTAAAACCAAGATTAAACATCCTCCACATGTATGGAGGATGCAGCAAATGCCTCCCAGCTGGTTTTTTTTGAACAAACTAACAAACAAGCATTCTACAACTAAAAGAGCATAAATAAAATTAAAAAAAATAATAAAAAAAAATCATAATGACCACTAAAAATACTAAAAAGAAATAAATCAGTCATGGTTTTTTTTTTTTTTTTTTTTTTTTGATGAACACTAGATCAAGATGAAAAAATAAAAATAAATAAAAAAAAAATCAAAAACTCTACAAGTTGATTCCTACCTTCACAAATCTACGCAAAAAAAGAAAAGAAGAAAAAGAAAAATTTACCTTGAAAAAGTGGAGAAAGAGAGAAGAAAAAAAATGGAGGTTCGCCGGAAAAAATGGTGGTCGCCGGAGTTTCGTCGGACGGAGAGGGAGGTGATGCCGGCGGTGAGATGATGGTAGTGAGGAAGAAGAGAGAAAAGGAAAAGGGAAGAAGAAGAAGAAGAAGAAGAAGAAGAAAGTGGGTTTGTGGGGTTTAGAGAGAGAGAGAGGGAGAGAGAGAGAGATAAGGAGATAGAGAGAAATTTGAGAGTGAGAGTGATTGGGAGAGAGTGAGTTGTTTAGATAAGTTTTTTTTGATCTAGAGAAGGAAAACAGTATAAGTGTTGTGCAACAGAGGCAATTAGTAGTAGACAGTGGATGTTCTTCGGGTGAAAAGCCGAGCATGCATACATCCCTTGTTTCCCAAGGCCATTTAGTTAATTTGCTTAGTTAATTAGTTATAGCTAATTCATGCAAATGTTGTAACTATTTAGGTTAATTAGTTAATTAATTCATGTTGTAATTAATTAGCTTAGTTGCTTTGTAATTAATTAGTTAAGTATTTAGCTAATTAGTTTGCTTTGTAATATTTAATTAAACTTAGATAGTTAATTATTTAATTGTTTTACTTAATTAGCTTAGATAGTTAGTTAGTTCATGTTGTGTAATTAATTAATTAAATAGCTTAGTCTAATTGATTAATTAATTAAGTGTGTTGTAATAATTAATTAGGATTCCATCCCCTCTCTTTTTTTTCTTTTTTTTTTATTGGCAAATCGGCGTCCCGCACGTGCGGGAGTCAAGCCGCACGTGCGGTTGGTCAACGCACCTCCTCCCGCACCTGCATATTTAGCAGAGTGCAAGCTGGTTTTTGCCCAATTTTCCCGCACGTGTGGCGATTTCAATTTTTTTTTAATATTATTTATTTAAAATTGATCAAGAATAAACACAGAAAATAAACATGAAAGCATGTTTTTAAACACTGAGAATAAACATTTCTACCTTTAATTGACATCCGGAATAAATATAGCACAAAAGAACATACGGAATGCCCATTAAAGGTACAATCTTCACACGAAAATTACGGGTACTACTTTTCTCCCTAACTGTATTTGTAACTTTCCCTATTCTCTAACAGGGTGACAGACTAGGTTGATTTGGTATTCAGAATCAAGGCGCATAAAGCTACCTCAATCTATGGAGCTGCCATACAGAGTTCAAGCCGAGGTAGTTTTGAAGCAATCTCCACACTCCTGGGTATTTAAACCAGACTTTAGTCTCGGAAATCCCAAACCTTTGTGTTCTAGGCTTTGCCATTCGAACTCTAGTTTCTACCGTCTCAGTTGGTCTCCTAGGAACTCACTACAAACACGGTTAGGTGGCTATACCAGACCGTCAGATGCCGTTCGGGCACGACAAACACCAAAGGAATTACACCTTTAGAGGATTTAAAGTCTCCTAGACGCAAGTAAAGCATAACGAGAACAAAGAAAAACAAAATAACATAGAAGGGAAAGAAAAAAGAATAAGAAATCAATTTATCAATCATAGTAAAATGGGTCCATCAAAGCAATGGACTCAATCATATCCCCATTCCCAATCCCCTCTATATATGGTTTCAATCTTTGGCCATTCACTTTGAAAGAGTGGCCAATCTTTAGATCTTGCACCTCAACGGCGCCATGAATAAATGCCTCAACAACCTGAAAGGGGTCATCCCATCTTAATCTTAGCTTACCCAGAAAGAGTCTCAATTTTGAATTAAAAAGCCACACTTTTTGGTCGGGTTCAAAAGATTTTCTATTAATGTGCTTGTCATGGAATTCCTTAGTCCGAGCTTTAAAAACTCTCGAACTCTCATATGCATCATTCCGGATTTCCTCCAGCTCATTGAGTTGCAATTTCCGGTTGAGCCCAGCCGCGGCCATATCGAAGTTAAATTTCTTTATGGCCCACAATGCTCGATGCTCAAGTTCAACCGGGAGATGACAAGCTTTGCCAAACACTGCTCTATATGGTGACATCCCAATGGGTGTCTTATAAGCAGTGCGGTAAGCCCATAATGCATCAATTAACCGTTGTGACCAATCTTTCCTATCCGGTCTCACCGTTTTCTCAATTATGTGCTTTACCTCCCTATTCGAGACTTCTACTTGGCCACTAGTTTGAGCGTGGTATGGAGTGCCAACTTTATGAGTGATAGAGTATTTCTTAACTACCGACTCAAAGAACCGGTTACAAAAATGTGTACCCTGATCACTTATTATGGCTCTAGGAAACCCAAAACGACTAAAGATATTTTCATGCAAAAATTTGATTACCACTCTATGATCGTT